GTTAGTTGTCTGTTGTTGCTAGGTTAGTTATTTGTAGCTGCTAGGTTAGTTGAGTTTTGTTGCTAGGTTAGTTGTCTTAAGTTGCTAGGTTATTTTTTTCTTGCTGCTAGGTTACTTGTCTTTTGTTGCTAGGTTAGTTGTGTTTTGTTGCTAGGTTAGTTCTTTCTTGCTGCTAGTTTTTTATTTTTTTTTAAACAAACAACGCCCCGAGGGGCGGGGGATTAGGCTGGATCCCCAACATGTATATAGATCATAGCCCTAAAATGGGCCAAAACACTCAACATAGTCTCACAATCCAAACAGTACAGTAACGAAAACAGCAAATGAAAATAGTACAAGGTCTGTCATCGGGCTAACAGGTGCCCGGAATAAGTGGACGGTCTAAGAAAAGCAATAACCAAAAACCTAATCTACTGGAATCGAAACGATGGATATCCCAGCTGATCTATCCGAACTAGCGTGCGAAGGCGGAGTGGAGCAGTGTAGGTCTGATACGTGTGCGTGTCTGGTATGGTAGCGCCAAGGCTGGCAAGGTAATCAGCAGGTCTGTTCCCCTCACGGAAGATGTGTGTGATCCTGTAATGGACAGACCGAAGTAGATCTCTAATGTGCATAAGCGGGTGCTATTCTGCCACGAGCCCTGATGACCCGAGTACAGGAGGGTGACGACAGCCGCAGCGTCCAGCTCAATCCAAATATGACTAGAGAGGTCGGCAGCAATCTGAAGGCCAATCTGTAATGCCTGAATCTCTGCATCGTAGCTCGAGGAGGCCTGGAGGGACGTGTGGAAGGCGGTGATAAGGGCTCCACTGTGGTCCCGGATCAAGCCTCCTCCTCCGACAGTACCGCTATGGCGATCGAAAGATCCATTGGTGTTCAGCTTGACCCAAGGAGAGTCGGGTCGAAGCCAAACAACAGCTCTGGGCCGAGGGGACCGAACAGGCGGAGGGGGAGCCACCATGTATCAGTGCGGTGGCGTGCAGCCTGTCCAGTCACGTGCAGAAAGCCTGCCCAACGCTGTGAGGAGCGAAATGTTTCTCTCCACCTGCAAAACAATGTGAGAAAGCAAGAAAGTAATATCCCTATGCTTCGCACTATTCCTTTCCGTCCAGGTGAACCAAAGGATCAGACAAGGAATGAGGAAGCTCACGTGTCTAAAGTGTGTGCTCTGTGAGAAAAAACTCAGGAGTTCAAAAAAACTGTCTGTGGAGGGTAGGGATATATGAGTCCAAGTAGCAAAATGCTCCCACACTCTCCTCACAATCTCACTCTCTAGAAAAAGGTGGGTAAAGGTCTCGGTCTCATGACGTCCGGTCTCAGAACAACACTCACATCGGGAGGGGAAGGAGATCCCCCTCGCATGTAACACAGTGTCCACGGGTATCCGGCGCAAGAGGAGGCGCCAAAGGAAAACAGATATGGTAGGGGTGAAAAGGTCGCTCCAGATGGCTCCGAAGAGAAGATTCGGCCGAGGTAGTAGAAAACACACCCGATGATGTAAGTCTCCACCTCATACCATCCGAACCGTCCCCCGAGATGGGTATCTGCTGGATCCTATCTAATAACTGCTCACTAAAACCCGCCCCGGAGCCCAACTCTCTATCAAGCTTCCCCCTATCCCACGACCCGTCCGTCCAAAGGTCGCGCACAAGCAGGTAGGGGGAATGCGACACCTACCTATCTCTAGACAAACGACCTATCACCTAACCACCACTCATCCCAAAAACTAACCTCGCCAACCCCCAAAACCCAAAAAATGTGATCCTGGGCGCGCCTACCAACCCTAGTAAGACGCCGCCACTGTCTGCTATCATGCACAACCGCCGTTACCCAACAAGCGTGGTTGGCGCGTCTAGAACAGTACTTGCCGCGGAGGTACTGGGCCCAAAGCGACTTTTCCTCCCTGAAGCGCCACCAAAACTTGTATGAGGAGGCAGTAACAATATCCCTAAGGCGACGGATGCCAAGGCCACCCTCAGGGAGAGGGCGACAGATAGAGTCCCAACTCACCCAGTGGGTACGTCTCCCTCTCCCCGAACCATCCTCGTAACCCCAGAAATAACGAGCCATGATCTGGTCAATCTCGTCAAGGGTTGACCTAGGAGGGTCGAGGACCATAAGTAAATGAAGCGGAAGGGAGCTAAGGGTGCTCTTGATCAGAGCAAGCCGACCACCGAACGAAAGGTGTCTATGCGACCAACCAGAAATCCTATCGATAATCCTCTGCCTGATGCCCGCAAAGAGCACTCTCGTGAGGTTGCCCTTATATAAAGGGGCACCAAGGTAGGTAATGGGAAGGTCGCCGTGCGCAAAGCCAGTGATCTCGTGGACTCGCTGAGCCCACCTGTCCGCGCTGGAGGAGGAAAGGGTGAAGGTGCTCTTCTGCACACTGATCAGCTGGCCGGTAACCGAGCTATAATGCTCCAGAAGGTGCATAAGCTCGATCAGCCCATCATCATCCGCACGAGTGAAGATGATGATGTCATCCGCATAAGATAAGTGCGAGACGGGGGGGACCATAGCCACAGGTGCTATATGTCATCTGGGGATAGTCGCAGGTAAAGCCATCGAGGCAGCGAGAGAGGTAGTCCGCCGCGAGAACAAAAAGGGACGGGGAAAGGGGGTCTCCCTGTCTAAGGCCTCTAGATGAGGGAAAAAAATCTGTGGGGCTGCCATTAACCAGGACCGAGAACGTGCAATGCTCCACACACGCCTCTACAAAGCTGATCCATCGCTCCGGGAATCCCATCCTAGCCAGTGCCTCCCTAAGAAACGGCCACTCCACTCTATCATACGCCTTAGCCATATCTAGCTTCAGCGCAATGTTCGGAGCCCGCTTCCAGTCTGCATGGGAGATATCGTGGATCATCTCCTGGGCCAAAAGTATGTTATCACTAATGACCCGATCCTTGACGAAGCCACTCTGGTTGGGAGAAATGAGGGAGGGGAGAATAGGGGAAAGACGACCGTTAAGAATCTTCGAAATAAGCTTATTGGTCACGTTACACAGGCTGATGAGCCTGTAGTCGGACCAAGAGTTCGGATTGGGTCTTTTGGGAATCAAGACGACAGAGGTAGCCGTGAAGGAATCCGGCATCCGGTGACCGGTGAAGAAATCCAATACCGCCTCCTCAACATCAGGCTTGACTATGTAATATCCTTTTCAGTAATTAATAAAAGTAATTATTTTAGTTCTAAGTTTGAACTAATTACTTTTATTAATAATGCTCGTTCTTAGTTTCGAGCCCAGTTATTAAGTTATTCAGTTAAAAGTTCGACTTTAAGTTGAAAGTATTATCGGTTAAATTTTATTTAGTAATCGAGCCAGTTCAGTAATTAATTAATTCCGGTCTGTTTATTTTTATAAATGGATTTATAAGATGGGATTAATTAT